TCGGAGCCTTGGTCAGGGAAGGTGTGTCGCGCCAACTTCCCGCCGACGCACGAAACACACAGCGAGTCGGCGCCCGACGCCGACTTGAGGTCCAGCCTAGTGGCGACCTCGTGCTTCGCCGAGCTCTGTATAGTATACATGCCGACGTTCGCAAGCCTCGCATGCATTCTGCCCGGCGTCACCGACTTGGTCAAGCAGGGACGCAGGTCGGTGCAGAGGGCACGCCCGGTGTACGTTGCCCGGCCAAGCACCTCTCCCGCCGCTGAGACGAGCAGCATCCCGTCGCTGTCCTCCTGCAGCTTCACGCCGTGCTCCTTCAACTCGCTGGCCGAAAGCAGGTTTGCCCGCACGCTCCGAACATAGAGCACGTCAGGGATGAGCACCTGCTTCCTGGCCTCCCCTTGCAGAGCGACAGTGCCACAGCCCTGAACACCTTGCACCGCCTCATAGAAGCCGCGCACGTGCTTTACGTCGCCGCTCGGCCCCAAGTCGACGAAGGCCTTCTTCGTCCCCATCAGGTGGTGCGAGCAGCCGCTGTCAAGCAGGACCACCGCCGGGTCCGCCTGCACAAGCTGCCGCCACCGCCTGGAAGTCCTCACCGACCTCCGGCACCAGCGAGACGGTCAGCTCTACAACGCCAACCAGCGAGCACGACGCAGCCTTGTCGTCTCGCCCCTTGCCGCCAGCAGAGGAGTCGGCGTCCTTCGCCGAGGTGGACTGCTCTCCTTGCACGGCTTAGTTCCACCTCGGCAAGGACGACGGCTGCCCGACCTCCCGCAGCCTCCCTAGGCGTCGTCGTCGTCGGAATCACTGCGGTCGGGGCATTTGAAGGAGAGGTGGTTGGGGTCGCCGCACAGCCAGCAATCCCGGCATCGACCTCCTCCTCCACGACCGCTATCCTTGGCCGACTTCTTCTTGTTGGAGTCCTTGCTCGGCTTCCAACCGCTGCTTCCGCCGCCGCCAGGCTGCCCACGCTGCCCCGGTCGCCCACTTTGCTTTGCCGGGGCAACAAAGTTTGCCTGCGCCAAGAGCTCTAGGGACCGCTCTGCCTCCTGCATCGCCTCATCCTGCAGAATGTACGAGGTCAACTTGCCCTCAATGAGCGTCGCCCTTGTGCTCAGCGCCATTGACAGCCGCTTCAGGAGGTTGTAGCTGCTCGAGAGTCCCTGCATTACGTGGGTGGCGTACAATGCCGTCGAGTACTGCGCACCGGCCATTCTGATGGTGGCGAGAATTTGCCGGGCTCGGTTGCAGTAGTCGGTAGCCGTCTCCTCGTCGCCCATACGCAGGTGCATCAGCTGTTCCTCCAGATGGGCGATGAACAAGTCGTCGGTGACTTGGTAGGTCGACTCGATGAAGCTCCACGCCCGGTGGCCGGTGTCGAGGTACTCCCGGCACCACTTCAAGGCGATCTGCACGCCCGGCGAGCAGCATCGCGAGATAACCGTGAAGGTCAACAACTGCACGGCGCAAAACTATGCACGCGAGTCAGGGTGGTGCTCCCCCGGCGTCGCCACAGTCCCTTAGGCGAAGCCGATCAGCCCGGCCATCTCCAGCTGGGACTCGATGGCTTCCTTCCAGGTGAGGATGTCTTGTCGACCAACGAGCGGCGGGGTGATCGAGATCCTGTTCGGCGTAAACTTTAAGTAGCTGTAGCTCGGTGCAATCCCGCCCGCCGTCACTTGGGTCGCCGACATCGGCGACACTCCACTTCGACTCCCACCGACGTTGCCCTGCGAGGAGCCTGCAGCCGCCGACAACTGCATCCCTTGCGCCTGAACGACGCCGGCTTCACCGGTGTGTATCACACCTCACTGCCTCGACGTGCCTCCCGCACTGCTGCCGACCTGGCCTCCACCGGCACTGACGCCCATGTCGACGCCGCCATCGTTGTTCACCGGTCGAGGAGAGGCAGGCCGAGAAGGGGGATGCTCCGCCGCCCACATGGAGGGGAGTCCTGCCTTGACGACTGCCCAGGGTATCTACCCCCTCATGGCGTCTCCTCGCATCCTCCAGCTGTGCCTCCAGGGTGTCCATCACCTCGGCGTCACCTACGCGCACGCTAGTGACTGCACGGCTGTCGGTCTACGAGCACGATCAGTCAGAGCAAAGTTGGCTAGACTGAACTACGTCGCGGTGTTATCCACGCTCACGGCACCATGCGGAGATAACTTCAGCAACTTAATGCTTGTACTTCCTCCATCATTCTACTCATGCAGCTGTTGGAAATTTTCAAGTCGTTCTCACTCAATATACCATCTTTTTAAGTGATTTAAAATTGGAGATGGTAGCTAATCCTAAAGCGCACAATCCTACCGAGAGTTGAGAAATGAATTCGTCGTAAGTTCTCAAAGTGACGGATCCTGAACAACAAATGTTATTAGAGCAGGTAGTCGACTTTGAGACGACGAATCATCATCAAGTCTCAACCAATGTTGACGAATGAGACCATATTCTAGTAGCCCTGCTTCCGAGCATTCGATTGGTTGTCGAAACGCATTCAAATTCGAAGTATCCAGTCCGCGGCACCGAATTTAAGAGAATCGATATTTATGGCTAAATTCTCTTTAAATGATTTTTCAAGTTTCCACCGTTTATAAGGCCTCAATATGACTGGTACGGACCTCGGAGGTGCTAATGGGGAGATGGCTAGAGGTAGCTGGAGAGCAAGGGGGAGCTGTTAGTGGAGGAGTGGAAATTCACCAACCAGCCAACCCAACGTTACCCTCAACTTCTACACCATCTTCTATAACCGTGGATCTTGTGAAATTGTTCTCTATTAAGAAATTCATGGGAGAGGACTACGAGCACTAGAAATTCCGCATGAGGCTATTGTACACTAAATACTAGCTATTGGACCTGGTGGAGGGAAAGAAGAAGATGTTGGAGGTCGCGGAGCTGTTTGGAGCGTGGATGAAGCGATCGTTTGATGCGTACGCGCTCATGGTGCAAGCGGTTTGCGGACGACAACTTGACCACATCAAGAACCTCTTGGGTGATCCAGAGTGTGGCCTCAAGGCTTAGAGGAAGCTTCTGGATGTGCACAAACCGACACATACTATCAGCATCGTGCTACTGACGCGACGGCTGCGCGACATCAAGTTTGTTGATGGAGAGCCAATGTAGCCCGTATTGGATAAAATGCGCGAGATCTTCACAAAGCGCCAAGACGGCAGTGTGATGTACCCGAAACTCATGCAATGCGTGGAGATTGTGATACGGATGTCGGAGTTATGGTGTGCCATTGCCATCAACCTCAACTCCCAACAACCCCAATGGAGCATTGATTACATTCAGGCGTGCATCCTTGAGGAGAACTTGCGACGTCGAAGTGTGGTGCACTCGGAGGAGGGAGCTAGCTATGGAGTTGGAGGTGGAAAGAGTGACTTCAAGAAGAAGTGGAAGGGCAAAAAGAATGAATAATCTCAAGAGTAGAGCAGCTGGGGCCAAGGGGAGATGTGCTTTTACTGCAAAAAGTGCGAGCATCATTGACAGAAGTTCTACCAACGACCTACGGATTGGACCCCACCTTCATCAAGGGGAGTGAGGGAGTCATGTGACCTAGTGGAAAGGAGAAAAGTGGCAAATATGAGGAGCAGAAGGCCGGGTTCTTCATTGTAAATGAATGCGCAACCAACACCGCCATGGCTGCTAAGGTTCTCCTACACCCTCTCATCCATTGGGTGATTGACTCAGGAAGCTCCTGGCACATGACTTTTTGTGTGGATCTACTTGATGACATTCAGCTCACACCCATCTCTTCAGCACATCCACGACGCCCACCAAGGCCAAGGTCATGGGCATGGGATGCACCAAGTTCATGGGAGCGGATTCACATCGGCTCGTCCTTTGTCCAAGAAGAGCAATGTTGCAGCGGCAATCAAGGAGGATTGGTTGCCGATGGTGGAGCGGCAAGCGATGCGACTGGTGAAGGTGCTGATGAGTGACCGTGGTGGAGAGTTCCTTGGAGAAGATTTCACCAAGTTTCTCAAGAGGAACGACACCCGACACCAACTGACCTGCCCAAAACTACCGCAGCAGAACGGCGGGGAGGATTACTGTTTGACTACAGCGTCGTAAAGCGCTTTGGACGTCTGAGGCTGGGGCAAATGAGTGCGCTTGTCGGGCGGAATGTGGTTACAGACATCAAGGGCCGCAGTGGCGTTACGAGCAGTCAAAACGAACTTTCTGGTCTGCGAACTTATTAGGGGTAGCGAGGGATCCGGAGCTATGCTCAATTAATGAGATATCCTTTATAGTGACGCTCTTAAGGTATCACTTTCAGTCCTCGAGCCAGTTCTCAAAATCGATCAGGTGCCCCTCAGCGTCAAAAGCGAGCAAAGTAGGAGTAGCCATAGTAGCAGTAGGGCAGTGTTGCTAAGCAAGGGCAGGGCACCGCGGCTCGGGAAGGGCGGCGCGGCTCGGCAGGGCGGTGCGGCCTGGGCAGGGCACAGCGCAGCAGCGCAGTAGCAGCAGTGGCAGCAGCGCGCTTAGCAGTCGCAGCAGCGCTTTGCATCAGCAGAAGCGCTTTGCAGCACCAGCAGCGCTTTGCAGCAGCAGCTAGCAGCTGCAAAAGTTACAGCATCATCAACGCGCAGCAGCGCGGACGGACAGGGAGCAGGCCGGGTGCGCGTTGGGTGCGCGCGGGCAAGGCGCAGCTGCAGGCAGAGCACGCGGGGGCAGGGCGGCGCTAAGGCAGAGCAGCGGGGCACACGCGCTAAGCAGCGGGACGCGCGGGCTGGGCAGCGGGGCATGCGGACTGGGCGGCGGGGCGCGCACGCTGGGCAGCGAGGCGCGCAGGCTGAGCATCGTGGCGCGCGAACTGGGCAGCGATGCTAGGCACTAAATCTCGATCCGCCTAGGGCGCGTTTTGGGCAGGATAAAAACGTGACGCGCCAAGGGGCGCGATACGGGCAAGAAATAACAGTGGGCCCTTTTAAAAAATTTGGTCCGAAGGATCTAATGGCTCTTAATACCATGTAAGGACCTAATATGTTAATTTATATCTTTTGACAGGGGTCCGGAGCCGGGGCCGGGGCCGCACCGGGGAGGGGGGCGCGGCCGCCGCCCGCCCGCGGAGGCCGGGGCCGGGGCCGGGGCCGCGCCGGGGAGGGGGGCGCGGCCGCCGCCCGCCCGCGGAGGCCGGGGCCGGGGCCGGGGCCGCGCCGGGGAGGGGGGCGCAGCCGCCGCCCGCCCGCGGAGGCCGGGGCCGGGGCCGCGCCGGGGAGGGGGGCGCGGCCTCCGCCCGCCCGCGGAGGCCGGGGCCGGGGCCGGGGCCGCGCCGGGGAGGGGGGCGCGGCCGCCGCCCGCCCGCGGAGGCCGGGGCCGGGGCCGGGGCCGCGCCGGGGAGGGGGGCGCGGCCGCCGCCCGCCCGCGGAGGCCGGGGCCGGGGCCGGGGCCGCGCCGGGGAGGGGGGCGCGGCCGCCGCCCGCCCGCGGAGGCCGGGGCCGGGGCCGGGGCCGCGCCGGGGAGGGGGGCGCGGCCGCCGCCCGCCCGCGGAGGCCGGGGCCGGGGCCGGGGCCGCGCCGGGGAGGGGGGCGCGGCCGCCGCCCGCCCGCGGAGGCCGGGGCCGGGGCCGGGGCCGCGCCGGGGAGGGGGGCGCGGCCGCCGCCCGCCCGCGGAGGCCGGGGCCGGGGCCGGGGCCGCGCCGGGGAGGGGGGCGCGGCCGCCGCCCGCCCGCGGAGGCCGGGGCCGGGGCCGGGGCCGCGCCGGGGAGGGGGGCGCGGCCGCCGCCCGCCCGCGGAGGCCGGGGCCGGGGCCGGGGCCGCGCCGGGGAGGGGGGCGCGGCCGCCGCCCGCCCGCGGAGGCCGGGGCCGGGGCCGGGGCCGCGCCGGGGAGGGGGGCGCGGCCGCCGCCCGCCCGCGGAGGCCGGGGCCGGGGCCGGGGCCGCGCCGGGGAGGGGGGCGCGGCCGCCGCCCGCCCGCGGAGGCCGGGGCCGGGGCCGGGGCCGCGCCGGGGAGGGGGGCGCGGCCGCCGCCCGCCCGCGGAGGCCGGGGCCGGGGCCGGGGCCGCGCCGGGGAGGGGGGCGCGGCCGCCGCCCGCCCGCGGAGGCCGGGGCCGGGGCCGGGGCCGCGCCGGGGAGGGGGGCGCGGCCGCCGCCCGCCCGCGGAGGCCGGGGCCGGGGCCGGGGCCGCGCCGGGGAGGGGGGCGCGGCCGCCGCCCGCCCGCGGAGGCCGGGGCCGGGGCCGGGGCCGCGCCGGGGAGGGGGGCGCGGCCGCCGCCCGCCCGCGGAGGCCGGGGCCGGGGCCGGGGCCGCGCCGGGGAGGGGGGCGCGGCCGCCGCCCGCCCGCGGAGGCCGGGGCCGGGGCCGGGGCCGCGCCGGGGAGGGGGGCGCGGCCGCCGCCCGCCCGCGGAGGCCGGGGCCGGGGCCGGGGCCGCGCCGGGGAGGGGGGCGCGGCCGCCGCCCGCCCGCGGAGGCCGGGGCCGGGGCCGGGGCCGCGCCGGGGAGGGGGGCGCGGCCGCCGCCCGCCCGCGGAGGCCGGGGCCGGGGCCGGGGCCGCGCCGGGGAGGGGGGCGCGGCCGCCGCCCGCCCGCGGAGGCCGGGGCCGGGGCCGGGGCCGCGCCGGGGAGGGGGGCGCGGCCGCCGCCCGCCCGCGGAGGCCGGGGCCGGGGCCGGGGCCGCGCCGGGGAGGGGGGCGCGGCCGCCGCCCGCCCGCGGAGGCCGGGGCCGGGGCCGGGGCCGCGCCGGGGAGGGGGGCGCGGCCGCCGCCCGCCCGCGGAGGCCGGGGCCGGGGCCGGGGCCGCGCCGGGGAGGGGGGCGCGGCCGCCGCCCGCCCGCGGAGGCCGGGGCCGGGGCCGGGGCCGCGCCGGGGAGGGGGGCGCGGCCGCCGCCCGCCCGCGGAGGCCGGGGCCGGGGCCGGGGCCGCGCCGGGGAGGGGGGCGCGGCCGCCGCCCGCCCGCGGAGGCCGGGGCCGGGGCCGGGGCCGCGCCGGGGAGGGGGGCGCGGCCGCCGCCCGCCCGCGGAGGCCGGGGCCGGGGCCGGGGCCGCGCCGGGGAGGGGGGCGCGGCCGCCGCCCGCCCGCGGAGGCCGGGGCCGGGGCCGGGGCCGCGCCGGGGAGGGGGGCGCGGCCGCCGCCCGCCCGCGGAGGCCGGGGCCGGGGCCGGGGCCGCGCCGGGGAGGGGGGCGCGGCCGCCGCCCGCCCGCGGAGGCCGGGGCCGGGGCCGGGGCCGCGCCGGGGAGGGGGGCGCGGCCGCCGCCCGCCCGCGGAGGCCGGGGCCGGGGCCGGGGCCGCGCCGGGGAGGGGGGGCGCGGCCGCCGCCCGCCCGCGGAGGCCGGGGCCGGGGCCGGGGCCGCGCCGGGGAGGGGGGCGCGGCCGCCGCCCGCCCGCGGAGGCCGGGGCCGGGGCCGGGGCCGCGCCGGGGAGGGGGGCGCGGCCGCCGCCCGCCCGCGGAGGCCGGGGCCGGGGCCGGGGCCGCGCCGGGGAGGGGGGCGCGGCCGCCGCCCGCCCGCGGAGGCCGGGGCCGGGGCCGGGGGCCGCGCCGGGGAGGGGGGCGCGGCCGCCGCCCGCCCGCGGAGGCCGGGGCCGGGGCCGGGGCCGCGCCGGGGAGGGGGGCGCGGCCGCCGCCCGCCCGCGGAGGCCGGGGCCGGGGCCGGGGCCGCGCCGGGGAGGGGGGCGCGGCCGCCGCCCGCCCGCGGAGGCCGGGGCCGGGGCCGGGGCCGCGCCGGGGAGGGGGGCGCGGCCGCCGCCCGCCCGCGGAGGCCGGGGCCGGGGCCGGGGCCGCGCCGGGGAGGGGGGCGCGGCCGCCGCCCGCCCGCGGAGGCCGGGGCCGGGGCCGGGGCCGCGCCGGGGAGGGGGGCGCGGCCGCCGCCCGCCCGCGGAGGCCGGGGCCGGGGCCGGGGCCGCGCCGGGGAGGGGGGCGCGGCCGCCGCCCGCCCGCGGAGGCCGGGGCCGGGGCCGGGGCCGCGCCGGGGAGGGGGGCGCGGCCGCCGCCCGCCCGCGGAGGCCGGGGCCGGGGCCGGGGCCGCGCCGGGGAGGGGGGCGCGGCCGCCGCCCGCCCGCGGAGGCCGGGGCCGGGGCCGGGGCCGCGCCGGGGAGGGGGGCGCGGCCGCCGCCCGCCCGCGGAGGCCGGGGCCGGGGCCGGGGCCGCGCCGGGGAGGGGGGCGCGGCCGCCGCCCGCCCGCGGAGGCCGGGGCCGGGGCCGGGGCCGCGCCGGGGAGGGGGGCGCGGCCGCCGCCCGCCCGCGGAGGCCGGGGCCGGGGCCGGGGCCGCGCCGGGGAGGGGGGCGCGGCCGCCGCCCGCCCGCGGAGGCCGGGGCCGGGGCCGGGGCCGCGCCGGGGAGGGGGGCGCGGCCGCCGCCCGCCCGCGGAGGCCGGGGCCGGGGCCGGGGCCGCGCCGGGGAGGGGGGGCGCGGCCGCCGCCCGCCCGCGGAGGCCGGGGCCGGGGCCGGGGCCGCGCCGGGGAGGGGGGCGCGGCCGCCGCCCGCCCGCGGAGGCCGGGGCCGGGGCCGGGGCCGCGCCGGGGAGGGGGGCGCGGCCGCCGCCCGCCCGCGGAGGCCGGGGCCGGGGCCGGGGCCGCGCCGGGGAGGGGGGGCGCGGCCGCCGCCCGCCCGCGGAGGCCGGGGCCGGGGCCGGGGCCGCGCCGGGGAGGGGGGGCGCGGCCGCCGCCCGCCCGCGGAGGCCGGGGCCGGGGCCGGGGCCGCGCCGGGGAGGGGGGCGCGGCCGCCGCCCGCCCGCGGAGGCCGGGGCCGGGGCCGGGGCCGCGCCGGGGAGGGGGGCGCGGCCGCCGCCCGCCCGCGGAGGCCGGGGCCGGGGCCGGGGCCGCGCCGGGGAGGGGGGCGCGGCCGCCGCCCGCCCGCGGAGGCCGGGGCCGGGGCCGGGGCCGCGCCGGGGAGGGGGGCGCGGCCGCCGCCCGCCCGCGGAGGCCGGGGCCGGGGCCGGGGCCGCGCCGGGGAGGGGGGCGCGGCCGCCGCCCGCCCGCGGAGGCCGGGGCCGGGGCCGGGGCCGCGCCGGGGAGGGGGGCGCGGCCGCCGCCCGCCCGCGGAGGCCGGGGCCGGGGCCGGGGCCGCGCCGGGGAGGGGGGCGCGGCCGCCGCCCGCCCGCGGAGGCCGGGGCCGGGGCCGGGGCCGCGCCGGGGAGGGGGGCGCGGCCGCCGCCCGCCCGCGGAGGCCGGGGCCGGGGCCGGGGCCGCGCCGGGGAGGGGGGCGCGGCCGCCGCCCGCCCGCGGAGGCCGGGGCCGGGGCCGGGGCCGCGCCGGGGAGGGGGGCGCGGCCGCCGCCCGCCCGCGGAGGCCGGGGCCGGGGCCGGGGCCGCGCCGGGGAGGGGGGCGCGGCCGCCGCCCGCCCGCGGAGGCCGGGGCCGGGGCCGGGGCCGCGCCGGGGAGGGGGGCGCGGCCGCCGCCCGCCCGCGGAGGCCGGGGCCGGGGCCGGGGCCGCGCCGGGGAGGGGGGCGCGGCCGCCGCCCGCCCGCGGAGGCCGGGGCCGGGGCCGGGGCCGCGCCGGGGAGGGGGGCGCGGCCGCCGCCCGCCCGCGGGGGGCCGGGGCCGGGGCCGGCGGCGGGGGGGGGCGCGGCCGCCGCCCGCCCGCGGAGGCCGGGGCCGGGGCCGGGGCCGCGCCGGGGAGGGGGGCGCGGCCGCCGCCCGCCCGCGGAGGCCGGGGCCGGGGCCGGGGCCGCGCCGGGGAGGGGGGGCGCGGCCGCCGCCCGCCCGCGGAGGCAGGGGCCGGGGCCGGGGCCGCGCCGGGGAGGGGGGCGCGGCCGCCGCCCGCCCGCGGAGGCCGGGGCCGGGGCCGGGGCCGCGCCGGGGAGGGGGGCGCGGCCGCCGCCCGCCCGCGGAGGCCGGGGCCGGGACCGGGGCCGCGCCGGGGAGGGGGGGCGCGGCCGCCGCCCGCCCGCGGAGGCCGGGGCCGGGGCCGGGGCCGCGCCGGGGAGGGGGGCGCGGCCGCCGCCCGCCCGCGGAGGCAGGGGCCGGGGCCGGGGCCGCGCCGGGGAGGGGGGCGCGGCCGCCCCCTGCCTGCGAGGGCCGAGTCCGGGGCGGCGCCGGAGAGGGGGGCGTGGCCGCCGCCCGCCCGCGGGGGCCGGGGCCGCGCCCGGGAGGGGGGCGCGACCGCCGCCCGCCCGCGGGGGCCGGGGCCGCGCCGGAAAGGGGGGCGCATCCGCGGCCCGCCCTTGGGGCCGGGGCCGCGCCGGGGAGGGGGGCGCGTTTGCTGCCACCAGCAGAGGCCGGGGCCGCGTTGGGGCCTCCGGCGGGGCCCGGGGCCGCGCCGGGAAGGGGGCTCGCCGCGGCCCGCCCCCGGGGGCCCAGGCCGCGCCTGGGAGAGGGCGCGGTCGCCGCAAGCCCGCGGGGGAGGGGCCATGCCGGGGAGGGGGCGCGGCCGTCGCAAGCCTACATGATTACGTCAGTAATCGCCCATCTACTGTTTCGGACTGACTGATACATCAACCCATCATTCCACGTCACCCTGCTTCGCCCTTGCGTCCCAACCACGAGCCAACTGCCTCGTCACCGCCGCCATCCATGAATCGCCCTGCATCAGAGCCGATCATCAAGCTCGAAAAGATTCTGAGCCATCGGATTCGACACCCCACGGGAATTAGGAGGTTCGAGTTCTTCGTTCGCTGAAAGAACCGCATGCCAACTAAGGATAGCTGGGTGCCACTGGCCAACATTGAAAACCACCCTGTTCTGCAAGTATACCTGAGGAGCCGGAATATCCACGATATGCACGCACTTGCATAGCGGAGGGGGCTTCTTGAGATGGGGGGTAGTGTAAGGAATTTTCTCGACATTCCTTACCGCGACCTGCGCCGCTCGGGGGCCATACTGTGTGGTGCAAAGAGCACATAGTGTCCTTTGTATGCGAATTGGTTTGCTCGAGGTCGTTGTGCACACAAATATACATTGGAAAACATTGTATCTCCATATTGTGAAAGCTTGCAATGTGTCATGCAAATGCAACGTCTCATTTCAACTGACAAGTACATGATTTTTATCGTCTAAGCATTTTACAATATAACAACCATAAATTTCCCAAGTATACTAGGGTGGGAGGGTGGGAAACTTGAAATGAAAAACGTGGGGAAGTAGCGATTTGCCGAATCATTTTGCTTCGGTACAGATATCTTCGCTATTCACAATACACAATTTTAGAAAGTGTTAACACATTAAAAGAATACATTTTAAAAGCATGGCGAACATCAATGAATTATTACACACATTGGGACGGCTTCGAGCGATGTTTACAGGTTTGTCAAAATTCCGTTTATGTCGTCGAAGCATCCATAAGAATAGATCATATACATGGACGACAAGATGCTTCTCGAAATCGTCGAGACGTTTAACGCGTTTTACCGTAACATGTGACTGCATCAGATTTTGGCGGACATGCGACCGGATGACGTTGTCACGCCTGGAACTAAAAACGCGTTTCAAAGCGACCATCATGCGTTCGTGGGCAGCGGCGGATTGCGTCCCCCCAAAGTGGCGGCACATGTTTCTAATGGTTAGCCCTTTAGTGCTGGACTAGTTAATGAAGGAACTAGTGCGGTTGTAGAGACAGATCGAGCGGTACATTCCCCATTGTGATCGTTCATCCGCAGTGAAGTTCGTATGCGACGAAGTGGATTATCTTGTGTGTACGGACGCCGTGACTGCAGGAGATTTTCATCTCGGATGTGTTACCGGTGCCGAGCCTGAGTCGGCTCCTGGCTATTTGGACGTTGCGAGGAGCATTTGTCGTGTCATGCGCACGTTGTTTGGTGTGTTTGCAAAACGAGCCTCTGACTCTGGCAAGGATCCGGTCGCCATTGTTTCAGACGCTGGCATCGCGAACGCAGAACTGGTGTCTCGTTTGCTCAGGACGTCCACGTACAAGAGGCGTAGTATCGGAGAGTGAAGTTGTAATAATAACATGTGTTTGCATTGGCCACTACATGCAATTAGACCTTAAGGCGTGTGCTGGGATATGTGTCCTTTGGTGTTCCTGTACTGTTCTAAACGAGAACGTCTCATCGGGCGGACATGTTTTGCAATGTAAGGTGGCGCTATTTGGCATGCTAAATCTTCCTAACTAATCAGATATGCAACGTACCCGGCTTTCCGGTAACCGGCCCGAGCACCATATCAATGGCTGAGGCGTACGGTTAGGTGTATCGAAGAAGTTTCCTGCATGGGTCTAATAAGCACCGCGCAACACCTCCGAATTACCAAGATCCAAATTGGGTAGTCGGCGCACCCTGGGCAGACTAGCAAAGTACGCAACAACATTTGCATAAACTGTGCGATTCATGTCGGTTTCTTGTTTACAGGCGATAGATTGTCTGCTCGGACAAAAGACTGAACGAGGCACACAACTGCTCACACGCCACCCAATGTGTTGACGTGGCACACTTCGAGGGTACGTGTCCACAATCAGCGGACCTTTCATGTACTATAGCACATATGGCTCATAATCCACGTTTGCTGATTCTTGTTCGTTGGGTTGCAACCAGCCATCAAAGAGGCATTGTGTCTCTTCTGTCACAAAACACACTGTGTACGTTGAAGAGATGGTGGCATTAGGGTTTCACTTGTAGGACCGATGTTAGGCAACAAGTGCGATGCGTGCAACCTCGATTTCGCGGATGACAACGCGTTGCAATTTCATGTTACTAAAAACACAGTTTGTCGTCAAAAGCTCAAACATATTTATATATATATATGCGTCAAAGTTTGTCGCTGCTTATCGGCGCTTATTGCTATAGTAGGGTCGAAACCGCCAGCCTCTTCTCATGAGAGCTCCAAGGCCCCGCAGCGGTCGGACAACCATAAGCGACCTCATGTACAGCAGTCCGCCAGTACTAGCTTCGGAGGGGGACTGAGACGGCGCGCATTCTGAAAGGTCGATGACTGTTTTGACACATTACAGGGGTTTTTTTCTGTTCTTCCACTATGCAGACCTTTCAATTAGGGAAGGCTGGTGATCACGCTGCTGGAAAGGTCACTTGTTCCAACCACCTCCGCCGTTGGCATTCTGGGGCCGGTTTTCACGACCACCAGAGCCCTCAGCACAGGGCTGCTGGTCTGGTTTTGCAGGACCATGGATGTATGTACGAATGATGGTGTTAGTTTTGATCATCTGCTCCTTCATCTCCTTGTAAGTCGTCCAATTGGTCATGCCGCCGGTCATGTGTGCCTCTTACAGGTTGACAGGGAGGCCTTTCATGAAGACGTGCATCATCTCCTCCTCAGACAAGGGCTTCTGGAGCGAGCGTACTGCGGCCTCAAACTCGACCGCATATTTCTGCACCGAACGGTCATGACACTTGATACTCTCAAGGCGTCCGCGCAGTTCGATGTTGGACTTCTTGACCATGAATGCATCTTTCAGCACGGTGCAGAACTCCGGCCACCCAAATGGTCCCTGCGCCTGCTTCTTATCACCATACACTACCCTGCGGGCCACCTCGTCCAATGCACGAGTGGGTGCAGTAACGCGAGCCTTAGGGCGCACATTTCCAAGGATCATGGTGTCATGCACCAGGTCAAGCCAAGGCTGCACCTCCGTCTCGCTATGGTTAAACTCAGGCAGAGGCGCCGAGAGAGACCCAAAGGGCGAGGTCTCGGTTGGAGGTGGCTAGTGCATAGTTGTCGCAGCGCCTACCGGCGTCGGTGCGGGCGAAGCAGGTGCCGGCTGAGCACCAGGAGCGGGCCTACGCCTAGGAGGAGGTTCATAAACACCCTTCCTTCTAGGATGGGTCATCTGCTCATTGCGCTTGTTGAATGATGCTTGCAGATTATTGCAAGTCTTCTGAAGCCACTCAATTTGGCGGTTTTTAGTGCCCAGGCTGCGACGGAACTCAGTAACCTCCTTCATGGTAATGCTCAGCCTAGCCTCGAGGTCCTGAGTGTGCTTCTTGAGTCCATCAATTGACGTCTGCTACTGCAGGATGGTGATATTCTGAGTTGCCACTTTAGCCTGGAGTTGGACAATCTCCTCGGAGATAGGATAAGTCATGCCTTCACACTCAGTGAAGTCATTTTCATCACTAGTGGCCTCCTTTCCACCGGTGTTATCCTCTTCCCCAAGGCTGTCAACTTCACCATGGTTCTCATCTTCACCATGGTTCTCAGCTTTACCATGGTTATGCTCATCTCTAAGGTCCAGATCGAAGTTCTCAATATCATCCAACTCAAGGTCAGCCATTGCCTCATCTTGATTGAGGTCAATCTCAGCAGCATTGTTCACCACCTCATTAGGTGCAGTGGGCCCTTCCTCCCTTGCTATATCCTTCTCTTGGCTAGATGCCATAAGGATTAAAGGAGATTGTAAGATCTGGGTTGATTCTGTTAAAGTCATTTTACCACCTCAATGGTAAAGCAAGAAATCCTTATATAATAAATTTCTTCTACAGAATAATCCAAGGTTACCAAAGATAACAGATCTGTTGTCAAGCACTCACAATCACCGAAGTGAAAGGGCAGGATCTATCCAAATCTCAATAAAGAGAACTTGTATAACCCTCAACAAATCCTCCAGATCCAAGTTTATACTCCACTACTCAACAGTAGAGAGTCTTCCACCAAAAGGTGGGCAAGAGAGATAAATCTCTCTTCTTAGCTTGAAGTTGCAGTTGTAGATCTTGTAGATCTTGAGCTCTTCAAGCTTTCAGATCTTGAGTGTTCTTTTAATGAGAAATCACAACTCCAAGATATATATATATTTAAAAAAAATCTCTAGGGGCAAAATTCCCTCTAGGCTTAGGATAACCTTAGCTATAGATACCAATGTAACAACCACGGCCCTTATAACAACGGGCAACCGTGTGTTAAATATAAATCCTCCTTGACAATTTATGTAAAATCAAAATTACAATGCTTGAAATTATTTAACTAATCCCACCAAGGGATAACCAAGCCTAAAGCTAAGCTTGAAGGATCTTGAGAAGAGAAGTTGTAGATCTTAAAAACTTGAGTAGGTAGGTAGCTTCTTGTAGATTTTATCCTTAGGAAATCACAACTTTTGTTGAGTAAGAGAGCTTGTTTGAAGAACCCAAAAGACTTAGAGAAATCCCATTTCTAAGTTAGATTGTTGGAGTTGGGAAGTGGGAATGAGCTTGAGAGCTCCAACCCCTTCCTCAATACCCCTTGGAGCTCTTCCCAACCATGGTTTCCATGGTTGGGGAGCTAATAGGCTTGGAGCCTATGAGGCACTTAAGTTTGGTTGGGGAAACCCAACTTAGCACTATTGTATGGTTGTTTTAAACTTTGTGTGGATTGTAATAACAACTGTCAACTTTCCATTCGTTCGAAATCCAACCTTGCGAATTTGTTTGGTTGTGTTGGAAAACTTCCCAATCTTCACTTTTGTTGGGTTGGAAACTCCAAAGCCTCAAAGTTGAGGTTTGGAATACCAAGCCAACCTTTCTCTCCCAACTCAACCTTCAACTCCCGTAGTCTGATTTCTGTCGAGACATTTCTCGACCTAGACTAGGAAGAAGTTAGATGGTGCGTTAGGTGGTGCGTTAGGTGGTGCGTTACACTCCTCCCCCCCTAGGTGGCAACGTCCTTGTTGCCTTAGGGTGCTTCTTAGGACGAGCGCTACGAGCGCGCCGTGTCACATTACGACTAGGGTCAACACCATCCACTGGTTGTGCGGCAGCTCGTCGGGCCAGATCTGTTATGTATGACTCAATTGCAGTTTCAGTCAGATGCTCTTCTGGTTCCCAAGAGTTGTGTTCAGGCCCATATCCTTTCCACTTGATGAGGAACTCTCGTAGTGTCTTGCGGTCGTGCTGTCCATCACGATGCATCACCACTCGCTCGACTTCATAAAACAGTTCCTCCCCCAGGACGATCGTTGGTGGCGGCAAGTACTTGCCCTCTGCAACGTACTTGTTCAACAGAGACACATGGAAGACGTTGTGAATCTGCAATGTATCAGGCAGCTTAAGCTTGTAAGCTACCACTCCAACACGCTTGATCACCTCAAAGGGCCCAATCCATCGAGGGAACAGCTTTCGTGCTCCAGGGATTTTGAGACGAATGTTTTTCGTGCTCAACAAAACTTGTCGTTGTTACGAATGGTAATGAAGGTTGCAGTGTACTCCCGACTGCATCTAAAGAAGCACGCGGTATCGAGAACGAATGTGAAGAGTCAAGTGTTGACTCGAAACGTCAGACGGTTGGGATGCATCTGGACCGTCGGAAGCAGACGGCGTCGGCAGCTGCAGGCAAGAGGAATCTGGGTGGGAACAGTTTCGTAACTGTACGCGCCGCACGGTTGGGAATGAATTTGAATAAGGGAATGTACCCCTTAGAGTACATGGCTAGCTAGGTCGATTCGTCTTCCCTGTACTCATATTTATATTTGCTGTTTTTGCATGTTTAATCATCTAAAGCATTTTACATTCACTCTGCTATTGAGGTCAAGGGCCCACCACCACTAGAATAGAAGCGTGTGAACCTTCCTGAGGTGATCCTGGTTACAATCAATATCGGATCGCAGCATGGTATGAGAGCGACTCATGAATCCTTCGTACTGCCATCTCCGAAATTTACGACATTCGGAAAGTGGCGTCCGGCACACAATCGCGTGTGAGAATGGCCGGAGGATCTGGTGGTCAGACGAATCTGACGGCTGAAGCGCAGCCCAATCCGGCTGCGACAAACGAGGAAACGACGAGAATCCCTTCCCCCTGTCAGAATCCCAACCACTAGACATGAATAATTTAGAATCATATTTCTAAATTTAATGATTGTGACAAGATTCAAAAAAGGGGAATGCAATAAGGAAGCATTCCCATCTTATCCTTCGGCAGGTCCACAGACCTGCCACCTAGTCTCATTTCACTCATCTCAATTTGAGTTCCCGCCCGTCCCACCCCTAACATGCATAGACGCGTAGCTAGATTGCATCTTAGGGTAGCTTTGCATAACCTTGCTACATCTATATTTCACGTGCCTCAGGTCAAGAATGAGCCGCTTCTTGGTCGGTTGTACAACCACGTTCAGCGGACTAGAGCATGTATTTCCTGTGTCGGACGAGATAACGCGTGCAGCGCCGGTGGATACGAGCTCGGCAATTGCCTCTCTCGTGAAAGCTAGATGCTGGGCCACGCCGGGGTGGTTGGGTGCGCGCCGGGGTGTGGGCTCGTTGTCCACCCATGGTAACTGGTACCCGCGCGAAATTATGGAAAGAATAAACCTGCTGTCACACCACGTGGACCACCAAGCCACGCATCCTCGTAATCGTCCGCGCATAATATTTTGAGTTGGGAGTTGTGGCACGGAGTGGATTAGCGTCCCTGGAGGGTGGGAGGCCGTAACGAAACGTAAATAGACATATATGTACCGTAAGCACGTCCCTTTGGGCAAAGGGGATATAGCATGGCGAGGCCCTCCCCGCTTCTCCCACTTTCTTCTTCTTCTTCCTTGTTTGTTTGTTTGGTTTTTTTTTTTTTTACTTCAACCATTAAACATTTCAATGTCCACAAGCAGTGCTATAATTGCAAAGCATTCACGCATTACAATATGCAAAGTGGTCAATCAGACGATGCGCGCGAGCTGGTTCGCTCTTTGTTCGCGCTTGGGGCACTCGGCAAAGCCATGTCCCGGTTCATTGCAAATGAAGCAACGCCCATCCCCGTCGCGGTGCCACTTGTTCCAAGAGCGTTCGCCGTTGCCCCTACCACGGTTGTTCAGGCTGTACCGCTGAGGGTAGGAGGTGGTACGATCGGGGCGACTCTTTTTCATCGCCGCCACAATTTGAGCGGCGGACTTAACAGTCTTATCCTCCACCACCTCCCCATATTTAATCTTTAGGGCCACGTTGGCCACGTCAAAGCCGCGCTGGTCAGCGGTGAACAAGAACATAATCTTTTCTTCGGCCTCTTATTCAATCTCTTTTAAGTAGAGAGCCGCTTGTTCGCTCCCCTCAGAAGGTAAAACACTCAACGCATGGCGAGCAATAATTTGAATCCTTTCAAAACCAAACATTTGAGTGCGAACGCCATCGCTCTTAACAAGAGCCGATCGCAACTGAGGACGAGCTGGAGGGATAGGAACGAGTGTCGATGACGAGTGCGTGGGGGGAGCATGCGGAAAAGAGCGAAGGCCGTTACCTTCTATAATCTCCTCGAAAATGCCATAGTCGCCTTCCCCCTCGTCCACGGCCGCCTCGGGAGCCTCGACATTGCGTGTTGCTGGGCGAAGATTCTCAGGACGAGCCGGCCTCCCGTTGGCGTGGTTGCGCTGGAGCGTCGCCAAAAGCTCGGTGATTTGGTGAAGTGCGTCGACGTTGTGTACCGGGTTGATGACGTTTCGATGCTCCATACGATCGCTCCGAGAAGGTGTAGCCCGAGTGTTCGCTGGAGTTGGGGAAGCGGGACGCTCCATAACGCGTGTTGCAGGGGCTGCAGAAAGTTGCGCCAGAATCTGGAGCAGATTTGCCTATGCAGCAGTGTCGAGATTCTCCAAAATCGCGGCGAAATCTGGACGAGCAGCTGCGCGCGTGGTCCCGATTTCGACCGGATTCTGCTGCGACGGGGGCCTCGAGTTTCTTCCAGGCGAAAGATTCGCCACGCGCGCTGCTGACGGTGGCGCGCGATCTCCCTGCCCCTCAGGCGCGTGCCTTTCCTGGCCTGACGCGCACGCCTGAAGGGCCTGAGGGGGCCGAGGGGCCTGAGGGGCCGAAACTGCCGCGGCTGCAGTGCTGGCTGCCGGATTTCCGAATCAGGGAGGTCCGTCGTGGTTGACACGAGGTCCAGGAGCGTCATCATTACGCCCCAGGCGATTTGCTGTTCCTCCTGCAACAGTCGCGCCGGCAGGGCGGGGTCTCGATCGAGATTCCTCCTGATTGCGTTCGTCGGGGCGACTGTTACGAGCGCCAGTCGAGGCGATTGGAGCATGATCGTCATTGTCGTTCCGGTTGGTTCCGCGAGTAGCGGCTCCAATTAAATCAAGAGCCGTAATTGCCGCGCGATGTTCATTTCGTGGCGAACGAGACCTCTCCCTCCCGGAAGTTGAAGTCGTGTCATCATCCCTCCGAGGCGATCCACGCCTAGACGAGCTCCTTGTATTAATGCGAGTCGGAGGAGGCCGTCCGTTAACAGCAGAAACGAATCCGCTCGCCATATTGTTAAGTCGAGCAGCAAAAACGTCTTGTAGAAGGGTTGAGGGTAGATGAGATCGAGATCTAACCATAGGAGGAAGAATGTGCCAACTCAAATTGAGATGAGTGAAATGAGACTAGGTGGCAGGTCTGTGGACCTGCCGAAGGATAAGATGGGAATGCCTCCTTATTGCATTCCCCTTTTTTGAATCTTGTCACAATCATTAAATTTAGAAATATGTTTCTAA